CTTTACCGTTAAGCCTTTTCATCAGGTCAGTTGTGGACATCCTTTATCACATGCAATAGTGTCTGACCGCTCACATGTTCGATCAAAACGTAAAATCCCTTTCAATAGTCTTTTGCATATTTTATTCGAGCATTTGTTAATTATGTGCTTTCATGAATCACTTTACTTACCGACATTTTTGCCATATGTATGTGCCAATTTTAGCCACCATTAAAATATTTATGTTAAGTATATATCAACATAAGTTTATTAATTTGTTTAATTTATTTCTGATTATTATGGGCCTTGCCGTGCATTAGTTTGTTTTCGTTCAGGTTATCTATTTGGTTTCACCATTTTAACCTGGAACATTTACACAGAACAAAAGTTGGATATTTATCTTCTATTAAATCATAACGCGTCAATATAAAAATCTTAGTTGAGCATCTTAGTCTGAAGGATAATGTGTAAAAGTCCTTTGGAATAGACATTTCTTTTTCGTAAATAAATTAAATTGGCATGAAGACATCGAAGAATTCACCTTATCCAGAGTCAATAGTATGTATGATAATTTCCAGAGTTATATCGTTGACTAGGTAAATTGAGGGACTTTTCGCTAGCTTCCTAGTTTGCTTCGTCAGCAAGCCTTTCCAGTCTTAGCACCACAATACAACTAGTCAGAGATACAAGTGAAGTCAATCTCTTGACTAATTGGCTGGTAAACAGTTGTCATATATCTTCTGTCCTGGCTTATTCAGCTATCCCATACCCTCGTGTCGAGAATTCTCTGTGTCAATTTCATGCTTATTTAAACGTGGTTCAGGTGTACCTTTTTCAGCGGATTTCATGAGACTTATTCACACCCTACACTGGTTTTATCACCCTTCCATTACGATTGCATTGAGAATTTTGATCAGAGTCGGTCCTATTAGTCCGCAATCCTCTTCCTCTAAGTCATATTGAAGGTTCCACCCTCCCTATAGGATTATACCATTATCTCTCTGGCTACAGGTCCCATCAGAATCCATATTTCTCTGAACGATCTGTCTCATAGTTGCCTGATTCAGTAATTTCACTCGATCGCCGCCACCGTATCCGCGCTACTCAGGGCATTACGCTCTTCACTCTGCCTCAAGCATTTGAAAGCACGTATACACCAATTCTAATTAGCAAGCCCCTAAAGTCTGGATTCTCAATTGACATGGCAACTTAACTTGAAGCTGCAGATTCCCTTATCACTATGCGGCATGCGCATCAAATAAACCCCGTAGTCAAACCACATGTATGATAAAACTTATCTACTAATAACCTACTACAAATGGTGTACACTATCGCTCGTTCTTCTATCCCTAATGACAAGTCTGGAGTTCTTGTGCTAAAGCGGGCCGAAGCCCAAATGTGATAATTTGACGTGATTTTAAAAAGGCTCAATGCAGACTTCTCTTCTTGGCTTATGATTGTTCTTCTGGTATTCTAGTAAATGCTTTTGCTAAAGTCAAAAAAATTATCCTAGACCAGTCGTCTTCTTTATGCTGATATTGTTGTTCCATGCTTAGGCAGTAAAGAAAGTATTCGCTAATCCTGCATTCTTCAAGTCTCTTGTTCAGTAGATTTCTTTCAGTCAGGAGTTCGATGGCTTCTCGTATCATGCGTTTTCCTGTATTTTCATATGCAGCCTGCTTTTATGTTAATTTCCACTCGATTTTGTTTTCCGCCATTTCGGATCTTTCAGTATCCATGTTTTAACAGCCAATAGTGTTGCTTGATACGTAGGCTGATTTTTCCTCCTTTTTCACCAATTTACTTATGCTCTCAGTTGCCACACTTGATGCTATAGACTCCAGAGTAATCCAGTTTCTCAACCTTCTCGTGTGGCGTCGGCAGGCTGATAAATTGTTGTCTTCTTGATGTTCCATTTTATTAGCAACGGCCACATTTTTGGCTCGGTTTATAGGGAGGCAGTCTTCCTACTTTCTGTCGTCCCCCTGGTTCTTAATTTTATTTTCATAAAATCCTTGCTGAAATCTGCTCTTTATGACCCCTATATATTTTTTTTTAATTTTCTGGAGTACCCGTTAATAAGGCAAATCCAAGTCGTTTTCTCCAACTCATCGTACTAGAACTCAGTGTCCGTTAGTCTTAAGCTTCTGATGATTATACTCTTCACTATTCCGATTTTCAGTTTATTTTTGTGGTGAGACTGGAAATTGAGGATTATTCCGACATGTAATTTCTTTCCAAATAGCTTTCTCTTGAAGATACGAAGTGAAACTGGGTTTTGATGAATCTCTTGAGATAACATTGTTAGGGGGGCTTTCATTTCGTATGAAAGTGAATGAAGAAGAGATTCGTTGTGCAATCTCACCAAATGACGGATGAATCCGTTGTACTGCAGCCATTTGGCTTTTATACGATATTCATGTTGAGGCAGTCCACAAGACTTCATACACTTTCATACGAAATGAAAGTCCCCCTAACAAGCTTCCACTTGAGTTTCTAGTTGGAGCGAATGACCTTAACATCCAGGAAAGGTTATAGCTCGTTACCCTCCACCTCCATCGTGAATTTAATTTGTTCATCAAATTGCTCAATAAAGTTGTGGAACTCATTCAAATTTTCCTGACTACTAGTCCAAAGGGCAAAGTAGTCATCCAGGTATGCCTTAAGCATTCTTAGTTGTAGTGATGACTTCTCAAATTCCCTTTCAAATTTGTTTTTGTGTACATTAGCCATATCTTATAGGTAGTCCAATTATTTTCTTAAAGATACTGCCGTTAATTGTAAAATTGGTCGTCAGAGCAGGACGCCATGGTTAACGATAATTGAGCAAAACACGAAGGCAAGAAACATGGTCAGCTTTAAACCTACTTATATTTCAATTTGGCCTACAGACATCTCATGTTTTGGTTGAATGTCCTCTACTTCGCCTTTATATTTGCTCATAGGTCAAGATAAATGGCTTCGGATGACATGTGAAGTGGTTACAGATGAAACGTGAAATTGGTGCAATTGAAACCGAATAGCTGCATCCTTCACTAAAACACATTCCTTTGATCCTGCAATGGTCCCGCATTTAATTGCGTCAAATTGCACACATGTTGTGTGAGTGCATTGCTCTTGAAATGAGTGTTATGTGAGAGTAAAAACCAGATTCCAGCCTAATCAAGCCTCTTGCCTTGTGGTACTTTTGGCATTAGACCAATCTATCTGGTATCAGCCTGATGTTCTCGGAAGTCAGGGCCCTTTATCTGAAGTGAATCCAGTTATTTGTTTTTTCAGCTCCCTTGTGCAAGACAGCTTAAAATGCTCGATGCAATCTTTTTTAAATTAGCACTTCGCCTTCTCTTCTTGACTACCTAGGCGAGCCAAGGCCCCATTCCATCTGCCCGCATGGAGTACCGATTTCTGGTGATCGACCGACCGTGTTTGTGCATCGAGATCGGCCTCACGGTCATCACCACGGACATAGTCACGACCTAAGTTCAGTGCGCGCAATCGCCTACACTATTATCGTTGGTGATGGGCTACACAACTTTTGTGACGGAATCGCAATCGGTGCCTCTTTTGCAAATGACCTCCGCGGTGGTCTTTCTACTTTCATTGCCGTCTTCTGTCATGAACTTCCTCATGAGCTTGGTAAGAAACCCATAATATTCATGCAAACGGTCCGACTTCCGGGACGCTGCATCACGTAACGCTTTATAAAATTTCTACTTCGATTTCGCCTTCACATTTCTCCTTTTGTATTTTCGCTAAAACCCCATTGTCATCCTTAGTTTTTATTTTAACTTATTTCCATAAAAAGAATTTTAGAATATAATTTTTAACAGAATAGTTATCTTGTCTTCGCAACTTGGTCAATTCGATTTGTCTGACGGGTTTTAGTGTGGTGTTAAAAATGACAAGGCTTGCTGACGAAGCTGGTGAAACGCCAGCGAATTTACCAAGTCTACAGTCTGACTGGAAATTGTCATGCTTACTATGGACTCCGGACAAGTTGCGTTCCACTGGGTCTTCCTGTAATTATGGCCAAGTTGCAAAAACAAGGTCAAGCAACGAAAGGATATAGCGACCATTCAAAGACCACACCATCTTGGTCTGCATACCTTCAAATGATTGTTATCATGGCTATTTGTTCATATATCTGCATTCCTCATTATTTTCATCCTCTACATTCATATGCATATGTTTTAGAAAATTCTTTTTATAACGTGTTTCGCTCTATTTCGGTGAAATGAGGATAGAGAGGATCTTTGGCCTGGTCTCTCAGAAAACTAAAAGATTGTCGTAAATGTAGACTATTGGGAGTCCTTGACTCACCGGTCTGCGACTTGGATCCATTTTTGCTAAGTTTTCATATATCATAAAGCAGACGCTAACAATAAGCCAAACCAAGAAGCTTGATCGGCTGCAATTATACTTAACTCATCACTAATCTCACATTGTTGACACTTGTTATGATTTCATAAATCCTCTATGTATCTTTTTAATTCACCTGAAAGCATGAACTGGACAACTAAACGATCGGATATCTAATTAGAGTCGCACAATTAGGTATAAAAAGTGAGTATAATTACAGTCTATCATATTTTTGGTTCAATATGCTGGTGCTTTTTTGTAAATGATGATTTTTGGTTTTGACCATGTAAGTCACGGCGAGCGGATGACAACTCAGCACTTTTCGGTAAGGCTTTCAGTACTATGAACCTAAGATGTACAAACTTGGCACAAGCTGGCTTGACACCAATATTTTGAGTTTAATAAATTAACTATTTTTGTCAAGGGTTTTTGGTTTTTACACTGATACGACATACTCATTAATTAAGTGATATATTCTTAGATTTAATTTTTAATTTAAATATAAGCTATAGTTATTATATGCTTCTTTATCGTTTTAATCTATCTTTGCCTTAAAAAAATTTCTCTCACGATTCCTTATATTTATCGTCTCAGTCTTCTTCAAATTAATTTACTTTATTACTTTAATAATCATGGGCCCATTTTAGCCCATATGTTGCTGATTATTCTGATTTCTGCCCTGGTATAGTTTAAGTCAAGGCGTTTCTCTCTACAACTTATTATTTGATGCATTATTTTTATTTTTTGGAAGTAACTATGACTTGAATTACTTTCCATCTCACTATAACCGTTTGGGCTCCCTTTAATTTGCCTATTTTAGCCAGGTGGTTATTTTCTTATCTTATTTACTTCGATTAACTATACAAGATTCTTGTTTCTTCCTCTTGAGATTACATCAAAAATTAAGTCACATAATTTGAATTATCCTTGTTCATCAAATCGAGGGCCCTTGTTAGTTTATACACTGACTTAAGCTAACTATTTTCATCTCCTAATTTATGTAACGGTTTGATATTCATCAATATGCCAACTTAATAACATCGCTCTCATATTTTGGCAATTTGTCGTGAAATTACTCAACTACTGATATTTCTTAATAAACATCGCAAGTTTATTATTCTTTAACCTGTTGATTTTCAGCTTTTCGTAGTCCACATAATAGGTAAGACAATTGCTGAGACATTTTTGCTAGTGCGTCAATGTTATGGTCTTAAGCACAATTTTTGTCTGATTCTGACTGGCAACAATGATATTTATCGCTTTACTTCTTTTATTGCTTTAAATTTTATTTAAATCAACTAAAATATCTGCTTTGCATTCCTAATTTTAATCCTGTTTTCTGTAAGCCCCAGTAATAGTTGCATTTTTATTTGTTACCTGCTGACTTTCACTTCCCACATGGCTAGGGCAAACTTCCTAAGGTTTAGATCATAGATATTAATACCAAGATGTTATGGTCTTCTGTTTGGTCAGAGTCTGTTTTTGCTCGACCTTGCTTTCGCAACTTGGTCGGAGCGTCTGGGAGGCCTTGTGGAGCTTATTTGGTTCCGTGTCATCTGCCATACTATTCGTGATTTCCATTATTAGACCATTGGCTGGGTACATTCCCAAACGTTTCGCCGGCATCTTGAGTAAGAGGCACAGAGCTAAAGCTTAGCTTAAAAAATAATATATATCTGCGGACATTTTTGCGAAAACAGATTATTAACTCGTATTGGTTAGCCAAAGGGATATGATATTTATCCCTTTGGAAACCAACCTTTACATAATTTCAGCACATTCGACTTTCCATCAGTCTAGAATATTATTATTGATTCTGATAAGGCCTTACGACGCCCAAAATAGGGATTTGGATTAGCGACAAAATCAAACTCATTTTTTTCATTGTATATACTTCAATTACATGTTTTAATTATTAACGGTACTTATGGCGACCATTGCTCTGTTCCATCCTGTATACCATCTCTTATTATGGCTTCCTGATGTATTCATTACTTTAGCACTTCTTTATGCCTTATTTATTAATTAATATTTTGCTGACACATCATAATGCCTGCAACATAGCCCGACTAATAATACTAAAATTATCTCCTTTTGTGAAATTTATATACTTGACTTTCCTATTGCTAAATATCGAAGTTTTTAACTAATTTAAATAAATTTTCTGGCTGTATTAATCCTTGCTGCAGCATACTCCCATTTGAAGTTGGTCCCTTAATGATCCAAGCTCTTCATCTTTATGGTTTGCAACAATTTGCATGTTGATTGGAATTTCCCTACTTTTAATGGGGTCCTTATCCTCTATCGTATTTTTACTCTTCATCCTTATATCTTTTTGATCATATTATTTCCTATATTTCATCTCTTATTAACATCATTCTCTTCCATTATCCCAGGTGATTTTGCCGTGCTCTTACATGCTGGTATGTCTGTGAAAACAGCTATATTCTACAATCTTCTCTCCAGCCTTCTCTGTGCCCTTGGCATGATTCTCGGCGTCTTCTTGGGTAGTTTGCCAGAGGTTAACGCTTGGCTATTTATGCTCACTGCTGGCATGTTCGTTTACATCGCCTTAGTTGACATGGTAAGTCTATCTCTTAACTACTTTTAAATATTACTCTAGATGGAAAAATGCAATCACACTTTGCTCATTGTTAGCTTAGTAACTGAAATTTAAATTTGTTATAGATCCTTACTTATGCTCATTTTCATCATTCATATTGCATTTTTATAGTTTAATTGCTGAATTCTGAATTTATGTCTTAAATTTGGGCGACGCCAACTTTTTGGCTTTGCTATGTATTTGAACAGATAATCTTATTTTCTTCTCACATCAATTTTATAAATTCTTCTCTTTGTTTTGTTATCATTTACTCATCGGAATGGTTTATTTCTAAATAGCCTTCGAATTTGTTAGTTCGACCTTGTTTTCGCAACCTGGTCGGAGCGTCAAGAGGACCTTGTTGAACGTACCTAGCTCAGTGTCCTCTGACAGTATTCGTGATTTCCAGCATTTCCAGACGTTTCGCCAACATCGCCAGGCGATACCCTTGTTCAATTTTCTGTCCAACCGTTGTGGCATCACTCCTTGCCCCTATTTTTCTGTTCTATAATCTAGTGCAGTATCTCTTTCTCTCAACCCAATTTATTATGGCCCATTTACTTATTCATGCGTTTATGGGCCCTCGTTTTCTCCAATGTCGCCTAAGCTTGTCGCCATAAGTGGGTTTATTGAAGCGTAATAATCTCCACCACCGGTACTAGATGCCGTTTTCAGGGCTCCTGGCCTACATTTCGCTCCCCTTTTTCCCTACCCGCTTGTCAATTGACCGCTGCTTAACATAAAATTAATTCTTTGGACCTATGGAATCTCGCTTCCT